TAAAGGAATGCTGAATTCTTCTTTTGATGTATCAAGCTAATTAAAATGTTACCTTGTATTTCTTTTAAGTGTGGACCTTCTGTTGTCACTTTCGTATAATATTTGCTTGCTTGATTTGTCACTTGTTGTCCAGATGAGCCTGGTGGTGGAGACAAATCCTCAGATGAAAAAAGAAAAGAGCAAACAACACCTGTTGTTTCTCCTTCGCAGGGAAGCCCAGAAGCAAAAGAGGAAAGGTAATTGGAAAAAAAATGTTTCGTGATTTTCAGCAATACTGATGGTTACAAACATTCTTTTGCCAATTTAAGGTAGAAATAGGACGTGTTTTTACTCTGATTTTCTCACAGCAGCTCCAGCAGTAACTCCAGCAGCAAGAGTGAGCACCCTGAAGTTACACCCAACACATTAATCAACACCTTTCCTCGTGCACCGGGCACCTCTGACTCTGTCAGGCTCAAGTGCAGAGAGATGCTGTCAAATGCTCTGCAATCTGGAGGTAATATTATTATGTGAGACTTGCACATTTTCCAAATTTCCCGTTATGTACAATTCTGACTTTGGTCTGTTTTCTTTTCGCAGAGGATTATATTGCCATTGGTGCTGATTGTGACGAACTTGGAGCTCAGATCGAGGAATATATCCTGTACATTGCCCTTTGTTTGTGATACTACATCAGGCCTATTCAACAGGCGGCCCAGGGGCCAACTCCACCGATCATTTTTATTTACAATTTAGAAAAAAATAAATTTCTAAACAAGGGGAAACTTTTGAATTGTCATTGTTGCCACAGTAAAGTGTTAAAATAGCAGAGCTCTCCCATTTAATTGAACATCTTTGGTCCTGTGCTCACGGCATTTCACTTATTGTTGCTGGGGAAAAAACATCTTCCGTGCACTGTACTGTGGGGGACTGGCTTGTCTGGCCCCCGGGTCCTTAGCTTTCTGAAAATTTGGCCCCCTGAAAAACATAGTTGAATAGCCCTGAACTACATGATAGTTTTGGATACCTGTGATATTACTGAGCACACCAGCTCTAATTATCTCCTATTTTTTTTAAATATAAAGTTTATACAATAGAATGTGAAACAGAATCGCTTAAAACATTCTAGAGGCTGTAAATTGGTGTTCTTTGATACATAACAAGAAATAATTGTGGTAATTGTATGTTTTTATGAAATTTAAGTCTTAATAAAATTAATTAAAGATAGCTTCTGCACTAACACATAATAGTTACTTTCATAATGAGGCTTCAATAATCCATAAAATTGTATTCCTTAACCTGACATCACGCATTTTCCAGGAGTTTAAGAACACAGACATGAAATACAAGAACCGCGTGCGGAGCCGAATCTCGAATCTGAAAGATATGAAGAACCCCAATTTAAGGAGGACTGTGCTGTGCGGCAGTGTAACTCCTGAGCGGATGGCTAAGATGACGGCAGAGGTTTGTTGGCTGTTGGTGGCTTAGATTTGGCGCTGTCAGCCGAATAGTTACTCCATCACTTTTCTGACTCTCTGCAGCAGTTTGGTGTTAGTTCATCTTTACCTACGTGTTGGCATCATTTTGTTGAGTGTCTATGTTTTGCAGGAATTAACTGACAGCCTTCTTTTTGTAGGAAATGGCCAGCGATGAGTTGAAAGAAATGAGAAAGAATTTGACCAAAGAGGCAGTCAGGGACCATCAAATGGCCACCACAGGAGGCACACAGACTGATCTATTCACCTGTGGCAAGTGCAAGGGCAAATGCTGCACATACACACAGGTACAGTCATTGTATGCTTCATATATTATCATATACATCTGAAGATGTTTCGGCTAATAGTAAAAGAGTGTGCAAAGTAACAGGTTTGTTTATAATCAATATCATTCTTAAAAATAATATACACCTGGGTGTCTTTCCTTTTTTTTTATTTCCCTAAGTATGCTCATTAAAATGTCATTTATGTATGATATGTATGATTTAAGGCCCTTTCAGATTGGTTGCGGTGGGTGCTGCGCGCTGCTCTCAAACCCTTTCATGGTCTGTGTTGTGCGGCGCCAGAGCGTACATGCGCCACATCAAGCTGAGCGCAGTGCAAGAATGTGCTTGCCGTCAATGCGCACTGCCTGGTAGTTAAAACTTTTTAAACTTGGGCACAGCGCTCCATGATCACACGGTTTGGGTGTACTAGTGTGTATGAAAACAGAAATGTGTGTAGTGCTTGCGAAGCAGTCGTTATAGCTCCTGGACGAGCTTAAATGTCCCCTCATCGTGCCCTGAGGATTTCATGAACCCACAACCTCGTCTTCTTTATTGCTCGTCTCCTCAGCAGAAGAAAGGCCAGGGTTGTCTTCTGAATTGTGCTCTGTGCCCTACCCGGCTGTGAGCGCGGCACACACCTCATCCCTATGTGAAAGCCCCTTTACACGGGTTGGCTAAAATGACGGGGGTTATTGTAGTATTTGTGTGGTAAAGGAAGTAAATTGGTTGCAAATCCGTGATATGTTGAGTTTTCTGTGATTGAAGTGTCGACACTTGTTAAACATGACTTTGTAAATAATAGTTTGTGCATGTTTTTGTCATTCCCCAGGTTCAAACTCGCAGCGCTGATGAGCCGATGACCACGTTTGTCTTCTGCAATGAATGCGGAAATAGATGGAAGGTATGTTTGATTTGCGTGGGATTCTATTTACTCAATACTGCTTTGACTTGCACAAGTCTGTGGGAAACGGTGTAGCCCCTCCCACTTTATCCAGACGTTTGTAATGCATCTTGAGCTGTTTACACACAACACATGACAATTCTTTTTAAAGATATTATTTGGATAATTTGAACCTGTTCCACTCTCCACACAGGATGTTTCAACTAAATATGTCCCTGATACCAGATTATTGATTTTTTTGATCTACAAATTAAAGTTAAATGGAATTATCAAATCGTCCATCAAAAGAAAATTCTCTTAACTTGTTCATGACACAAAGCTAACAAATGTAAACCCTTTTCTGGTTCCGGTGTCTTAAATGTACAGATTCTTACTGTTTTATACTTAAAATGACGGTATTATTTAGTGTCTGGATGTCAAAAAGAAACGAGACAGATGCAGATAAAAAAACTTGTGCTCTTTGACAACTTTTCAAAAGATAGATAAAATATAAATAAGTTACCAGATTGCCTTCACAAAAGGTTATTACAATGCTTTTATTCCACAATTCCACATAACTAAAACCAGGCAATTTTATTCTAAACCTACCTTGATTTTGGAGATCATTTTTATTTCATGCAACTGCATAAATTGTTGTTTATTGTTCTAAAGAAATGTCCAATTTTGTTTATTTAAAAAAACAAAATCCAGCTAATTTGTGTTTTTCTGTGTTCCAGTTCTGCTGATTGGGCAGTCTCGTTCACGGCACTCTGACAAATAGCAAAATTCCTGGACCAGGTTACGTCTCACTGCAACAGATTGGAGCTTTGCATTGTGTGGTACATGGTGCACAACATGCCATACACAGACGCCACTGCGGTTACCGTTTGAATAAACATCCTGTTTATAGATTGAGCTCGTTGTCAGTTACCCCGACAACCTCCCCCCCCCCAAAAAATCTTTTACGATTGTTATTAGTTGTTTCTCACTGTCGGATATATGCGATCAGTCTTGTCTCATTCTCTTTTATCTGCATTTTTTTATATGTAGTTTTAACACTTTGGACAATGTTGTTTTGCTTTCCCCTCACAACATTGCATTGTTTATTTAATTTCCCAATAAAGTGTAATCCATTTGATTAAAAATAAGTGCTTTTTATTAGTATTTCGTCTCTTTTGCTTATGTGAACATTGTGTGTGTGTGTGTGTGTGTGTGTGTGCGTTGTTGGTGGAATATTCATCACATCAAAGGGAATGCTGATGAATGAATATTAGTCTGAGCAGGGACAGCATAATGTCATTTGCTGAACCAGGGTGGACACACATTTGTAGCCCCGTGCTTGAGGTTTTATTAATTGCCAGGTGCAACCACTTTGTGTTGACTAGTTGTTGTGCTGCTTTTCCTCACCGAAAAACTGAACCCAGAGCAGTTACAGAGCTCTGTCTAATCACTGAACATTGAAGGGAGGCTGTACAGCAGAGCTTGAATAGATTAATAAATTACGCTTCTCTTGTCCTGCTGTCTGTGAAGTACCTCACTACACTCACTATTGTGTATATTCAACTAAAGGTTACTAATTTTGTACCTCTAAAGAAACCCTAATCCAAAGTAATGAATCTGATGAGAAAAATTGCCTTTTTGGCATTTGCTTTTTCCCCCACATCATTTTGGTATCTATAGACAGTATGGGGGATGGGGTAATCAAAGTGTAATTTCCTTTTTAATTTCATGTTTTGGCCTGCACAGTGGTGCAGTGGTTAGCACTATTGCCTCACCAGCGAGGAGGTTCCTGGTTCCAGTCCCTGTTGGACACGGCCTCTCTGTGTGGAGTTTGCAGGTGTGGCTGGCTGTCTGTCTCTATATGTCAGCCCTGTGATTGACTGAAAAGTCCTGGGTGTACCCCGCCTCTCACCCAATGGCAGCTAGGATCAGCTCCAGCTGCCCCCCCACAACCGGTACACAAAGGCGGTAACGACAATGGACACCATTACTAATGTGGTGAATTTTGAAATATACACTTCAAGAAATATGAGCAAATGTTCAAAATTACCGAAAGTATTCCGAGCACATAAGTTAATATATTGCTTTAAGAAGCTGAGCCTGGATATTGGATCTTATTAAACCCTTCTCATGAACAACACATAGATTTAAATGAAAAAAGAAAAAGTTAATTCATCTTTTCAGTTTTAATGGAAAGTCCCCAAACATTTACTGAAACCTGGATCATCCAAACCTGCATACAGCACCCTTATCTTCTTGATTCATCTGATAATTAGTTTCACATTTTCTAGGAGGTAAACCTGTTTTCAAATCTAAAACATTAAAGTAGGTAAGTTTAACTACCTTTTGTATTTAATAATCAAATCATGCAATAGTCAGTAAAATTATTGTGCTTTATTTGATCTCAATCAAAATGCCCACAAGTTATTTTCTCATAAAGAGAAGCAGAAAAGAAAACTAAACCATTTACTGTAAACATTCACATTATTTGTTTTTTAAAAATGTATTCGTCAGTAAACTCAGCGCAAAATAACACATTTCATATAGTAAACAGAAGAAGAAACAACATATATAGGCATCACTCCAAACCATTGGCTTAGATTGTGTTTTGAGGTTGATCTGCATGGTGTATCCAACAGCTCAAATTGCACATAAGTTGAAGTTAACTCTAAGACAAGTACAAGTGCCATCGTGAAGCACAGGTTGGCAAGAAGTTCAGATCAACCAGCCCTATCCATTGATCTTTGTTTGCCCTCAGCAAATGAAGACATGTGTTGTCATCGCAGTCCATTATATTGTTTGGTAGCACTCACAAAAATGGACTGATTTACTCACAACTAAGGAATTAAGACGAAACACATGCGATAATTTGGCCAAAGAGAGGGACAATATCCTGGTATACTGACCGGGTGCTCCAGTAACCACCATCCAGTTACCACGGCAAAAGTCTGAAAACAACTGTTGCCCATGAGAAAGATGTCATAAAACTGAATGTCAAGGCACTTCCCCATGTGAGGATCTTGTCTTTGAGCGACATATTTGTGAGGCAACAAAGTAATTCAACTAAAACTATTTCAGAATACATCAAAGTATTCAAAACTTGGCAACTCCAATTTTTTGTCACAGAAATGCCCTTGTAAAGAACATGAACACAGTTTACATGGTAGCTTTGGTGTTGCTGCTAACCTGGCCTGACCACACTATGGTTTTAAAAATTAAAAGTCAAATGCATACAAAAAAAAAAACATCACAAAATATGGGTGGCATTTTATCTCAACTGTCTGCAATTTCCAATAAGTTTCATGCAAAGTACTGTGTTTTTAAGTAAGCTAGGTATTATTGGTCAAATAGTGACTTCAAGTGAACTAACTAAATAATTCTCAGTTAGCTTTAGACAAGAAGACAAGTTGTTATAGTGGAGAGTTAGTTAGTTGACATTTTAGTTGTTGCACTTAGCTTTAGTTCAACTAACAATTTGAAAAGACTCTCAATGTACAAATTATATGAAGCTACGGCCGGATGTTTGTTAGCTTAGCCTAGCTTATCGAGATACAATAACTTGTCTATGTCACAAACACATTTCTGAAACCAGCACTTCTAAAGGGGTAACACGTATCTCATGGGTGTAGTCTATACAAAGTATAACACCTTAAAACAGCTGTTGGAGGGTTAGTGATCAGGCAAATATTTATCAGGCTACGGTAATCTGACCAGTCTCTGGGAATAGCAAACAGATGTGAGAGAGGCAAAAAATATTTTCATCTAAATCTCCACGAGCAAGGAATTAAGCATATTTATGTACTACACATTTAATCTTCAATTTATTTAAACAATTGCCAAACAGGCTTATCAGGACTTCCATGAATTTAGGAAATTACAGACATAAAGTAAAGCGTTACCCAATTACTCTATATTTCTCTACACAGTGACCTTGCAGTATAGTTTACCCCATTTATAAATAAATATAATTTGTTCTTGTTTTATTTCTGTATTGGCAATAGATCAATAAGCAATAAATACATTTTCTGTAAATAAAATTATTTCCGTTCATATATCACAATGGTAAAAATATATTAGTCCCATACTCATGAGGTGTGAAGTGAGTGACACATATCCTCTGTGGTTAAGATTAAGTAAAGACAGTTTGAATATCCTGTCATTATTGAGTTCAGGTTTTTTAAAGAAAAAGAAAACTCAACTTAACAAAAGCTATCTTCCCTTTTCTGTTACTTCACTTATAACCACACCTACAGCTGTTTCAATCTCACACATTTTCTACATGAACTGGAGTTGCCAAGTCACTGTCACAGGTACCAAAGTGTGAGGTTAGGTAACAAAACAAAGGGGAAACCAAGGTAAAATCATACAGTACCCCACAAAGCTGCCTGCAAGTACAGCTAACATGTAGCCTTTGACTTGAGCTTTGATTTTCATACGCAGTATATAGAACCAGGTGTCTATACATAAAATAACCCACAATTCCATTTTCACTATTTACAAACTCATAAATATATAGTCTACAGTAGGAATAATTTCCCCCCCAAACAATCATACAAAAAAACAACGGACCATAAAAAACTCAACGCAAATAAAATAGATTATTTCTATCAAAAGAAAGAAAAAGATGTAATCATATTCCTTTGGAGTGTTTCGCTATGTTGATCTGTAGCAGTACTTGTGATGTCGAGCCCTCGGGAGATTTTGAGACCTGAGTGTCTTCGGTCAGGTGCAGATCACAATAGCGCTGATATCCCTGGGAGGGGCCAGGCCCGAGGCCCGGTTAATGTAATCCTACACTGAACATACAAAGAAAAATGTTTAAAAAATGGTTAAGGAAAGAGGCTGTTTGAGTGGAGGGGGATAAAGAGAGTTGAAAGATCACAGGTCATCACCACCCTAAGATTCAGGGGACTGCTCTGATAGAGTGTTGAGCAGGTTTTTGTAGGCTGGGGAGTTCATGTAGCGGGGATACGAGTCTCTTTGCATTAGTGTGTAAATCTGGAGCTGGGCTTCGTCGAACGTGTGCAAGTTGGGCTCCTGCATGTTCCTGTTGATCGTCTCTCGCACACGGGAGTCGAGGCTTACCTGGCAGTCAAGAAGAGGAATAATAAGCAAGTATAGCCTTTCTTCTTAAGGATTACTATGACATTGTACTACAGTAATTTTCTTATTTTTACAGGATGGATGATGAAATTAACCATTAGCATTCTGTGACTGTCTGTGATATGGCAAATTGTTGTCCAGAAGCAGAGTGGGCAGACTAAGAAAACCAGATTCAACATGACATGGCTCTTTTTTCACAGTAATTTTTCTATGCTAACCTTACTTTCTGCAATCTGAAGATTCATTTCTACCATTAAGACAAGATATTAGTATTAAACGTATCTACCTTTTCTGAGTAAGAGAATTCAAATAAGCCCACACTGTTAAACTTAGCCTTTAATTTCAGGGCAAATTAGATAAAGATTTTCACATATAAAGTGTAACACTTCACACACAAACCATTTTAGTATAACAGTTTTAAAAAAAAAAAGCCTTCAGACCTCTTTAGGCGAGAGAATGGAGATATAGTCCTCATAGATGACCCGAGCCTTCTCCTCTACCACACTCTTATTAGCCTCGTTGCTGAACTCCTCGCAGGCTAACCAGAAGAGCATATTCTCCTCGCTGAACTCAGTCCGAAGAAACAGTCGGAAGGAGTTCCTTCCCGCCGGGCAACACATCAGCTTGTCAAATGACTGCCCCCATGAGCGCACCTCCTCCAGCGTCGGCTTAGGACTAGCAGGGAGCATGGACAACATGGAAGTGATTTATTTGAATATTGTGTTTACAAAAATATGATTGGTAGCCTGATATTTCTGTGGAAGAAAAATGTATGTACCAGTCTTCACAGTCAGCGGTCCCCTCTTTAACGTCATAAGAAGCCTTTCGGTTCCTATCATCCTGGTCTTCATTCCTTACGGTGGCGTTGAAACAAAGCATTTCAGAATCAAACATATTATGAACTGCACATGATAATTTTACTTCTTCTTGATGTGACATCTCATTATATCATTTATATTAGTATAACGTAAATATTGCATACAAACAAATCTTTCCGTGGTAACACACAAGTGTAAGCAGACTGTAAAGTATATACTCTCAATACATCCATGTTAAACCATCTAACTGTAATGTGTTCATGCAGTCTTGTTAATGCCACTGTCACCTGTATCACTGAAATGATTTATCAATTCATTCACGATCAGATGGCCAGATGGAAAATTGCAGTCATTTTCCGAGGATAAAAGCTCACGTTTTGCTGGCTCCAAGCTCTTAAAATATCTGTTTCTGCTGCCTTCTCACCTTTAAATGACTAAACTGTTGTTACTCAGTAATACAATGTTCATAAATACTTTGTACTGCTCAAGATTATAGATAAGGTTATAGCTTAATTTTTTTAAATCCAAAATCATGATGTCCTTAACAACATAAAGTTAATGGTCATGTTTGCCAGAACGAAGACTTCCAGCAATAAAATGTAATTCTTCATCTAGCATCACAAAATCTTTATGGAAGACTTGGTGTGCCCTTAGTAAAGAATTTTTTTTTTTGCATGCAGTCATTTGACCAGCACTTGGGCTCTTGTAATAGCTATGTATTCAAGATTTGTGGTATTTTTTGACTGTTTGTATTGTAGGGTGTCTTATAAAACAAAAATATAGATTACATCCTCATGAAGCAAGAGCTGACATTTCTCTCATTCTCAGAAGATGAATTACTTATATTTACGTGTTTTTTTTACATCCTAATGAGGTTGCTACAGGTCCATATACCACATATGAAAACATAGAGAACACAACACAGCCTGCTGCTGAGGCACTGTAGCTCAGGCTGTGTTGTCCTGTGTGCAGTAATGTCGACCATGCTGGGCCACAACAAGCCACTTCTCAGGTAGGGGGGGGGGGGAGACCTACCAGGAACAGCTACAGCAGCAGCACCAGCAGAAGCAACATGCATTTGAGCCCCGTGGATTGGCCTGGCCCGGCTGGCCCTGCTGGGCCGGTGCAGTTCCCCCCGCTGCAGACTCCTGCTGCACCGACATCTGCCTCTTTCGCATCTCCATCCGCTCTGATCCCATGGGCTGCAGATAGAGGAAAGGGAAGAGGACCTGAGGTTAGTGTCAAGATGTCAGGAATAGTAGCTAGCTGAGATTTTATTTTCAAGGCATTTCACTGATCTTGATACATTTAATGACATTAACGGGTATACTGTAAAGACACCATCGTCTAGTGTGACATCTTGACGAGTACATCTGTTTTATGACCAGCACTTTGATCACAGTCACCATCTTTACTTTTAATTGATTAAATAAATCTTAATTCAATTTCCCTCTCACCAGTTGCAGTATGCATTTGCAATGTGTGCGGGAGCTCTCTGGTTACAGCATGTGCTGGCATGCTCAGCAGTCACACTGTAAAGGAATGCTGTTTGTTATATTCAGTGTTAAAGTGTTGGAAAATAATTTTCAGACTTTTTTTTTTGCACCAGTTTATGCACCCTCCAAGTGGATTTCAGCACTTCTAATTTAAACATGCTGCATGTTCCTTCAAACACTCCAAACTGCATGTGTGAAAGGGACAGATGGTTGGCCATTAGTTCAATGCACATTATTTAAAAAACTGTACTATCCCATTTGTGGAAAATCTGAGTCTGATCATAGAGCATTTTAGGATATGCTGTGCTCACTGATACCAACTGTCCAAAAGCAGTACATTAAATGCAAATAACATAAATTTTCTTTTTAGGTCTTTACCTCTTCAAGTGTCACTTTAAGAAGCACTTTTTGGCTACATTTGTGTTCACATCATGACTATAGCTCCTTGGCGTATTCAACAGAATTGCCATTAAGATTTATAGGCCTTTATGGACTACAAACAGGCACTACTCACAGAATGACTTGTCTGATTTTAACAAATGTGTCATCACCGGGTCAGACACTGACAAATCCTGTAAGATCATTTATGTAACAAACTGTCATTCCAAACACACGGCATCATTCGGTTACTATACGAGACTAAAAAATGTCAGGAGATTTGGTACATGGGAGGAGGGGGGGGGGGGGGGCAAAGGCGCAGCTTGCAAATCTATAACCGCAGCATCGCTCTATCACAGCCTTTCAGTGAATACAATACCATTTGGTCATTTCTAAAATGGATCCGCGCGCGTTTTTTTTTTCCCCACACAAATTCCGGGCTGCAGATCTCGTGCGTCTTGCCAAATGGCATATTTTACGCGTTAGGTGTCGGGTGCTTCAAAGCTGACACAATTGCAGTATACGCTATGGCTTGACTCAACAGCTATAGACGATGAAATGGGGGTGGGGGTGGTCGCATCCATTCAAAGGAGAAACCACGATAATACTAAATAAAACCATCGTTTTTCTACAGTCGCACTGTTGCAGAAAATGTGGTCGACCCTTGGGATTAAATGGCTCCTGAACGATTTAACGTCAGAAAGCATTGCATTAGCAGCTCGCACATCACATCAATGGAAAGTGCCTTCATGAAGAACCGCAAGAGCTTCATCGCCCTGGACAACCAACGAAAAGACACTGCCTATATCTGTTAAAAGCCCACTGTACAGCACAGATAGTGACATGCCATTTAAAAAATGCCTGGAAACGGCGTCAAACGCTACCAGTACTTACAATTTCACCATGTATGCACGGCGAGAAGAGGTAATTCTTTGCCTTGATTACATCCGATGGCACATAAGGCTTTTTTTCCCTCCGACCGGCTGCTTCAAGTCAGTACGCATGCGTCTTCTCCCTCTACTCGTAGTAGCCCAGTGATGAGCGTAAAGTCCGGCAGACAGTACGGCACAGGTTGACAGTGCAGGTCCTTACCCTGCCTAAGTCTATGTCAGACTCCTGAAACTGGATGTTCAAGCCACAAAGGCTGCGTGATGTCAGAATAAAATTACGAAAATTGTATAATAAAGCGTAAACATGAATAAAGTAATTTCATTTTTAGCATTAATTACATGACATTTCAGGTGACATTCAGAAAGATAAGCCCCCAAGACGCCATGATTTCTTTTTTGGTGCATGTCCCAGTAAGACTTTGAATACAGTCGCTGTCTATGGTGCTGAACAGCCACAAGCTGGTGTAGTGCGGCGGGGGGGGGGGGGACTTTAGCTAAACCTTACTGTAGGATAGCACGACTTTCACTAGTAGTGTTGTGTCATATATAAAGTTTAGTCTTACATTTCTTCTCTGATATAAGTACTTTCACATTCAGCAGCTCCAAACTGTTTTCCATCCCGTGAGCTCTGAGTGAGATTTAATCTGCTTGTCACAAACAGTATCCTCCTTGCATGCATGTGCCCATCCTGTCTAAAAATTCTCCCAGAGTTGTGCATATAAAACTGTCATTGCTTATGCAAACATACACACCGTTTTTTTTTTTATCCTGATTCTGTTAACAATTCTGTTGCTTTTTTAAAATAGTTTTTAACCTGAGTCTGCTCAGAGATGGCAGATACAGTTTTATAGGTGCCATGTGACATCATTAAATCTTTTCTGATCAAAAAATGATCATCTCTAATGTCCCTGCTAAATCAAACATAAAGGCAAAGAACAAAGATAACGTTCAGTTTTCAGCACAGGGTTAATCAATGGATTATTTTCACAATAAATTAATCAATCTTTTCGCTAATTAAATAAAATAAATCTAAAATAATGCTCATCCTTTTTCCCAAAGCAAAGTTTCATGTCGAACCAACACTCAATACTAAAGGTTTTTTTCATTTATTATTGTATGAAAAATTAATTATTGACAAATGTAAAGCAGTAAATCCTTACATTAAGGAAGCAAGAACCAGCCATTGTTTTATATTCTTTTGGTGATAAAACTACTGAAAACAATTTTCAAAGTAGAATTTCAAAAATAAAATCATTCACTGCAGCTCTAAATTTTTCAAAAAAATCACATCATTAGCTTTATACCTCCCTTTTTAATCATAAAGTACATATAAGAAAACTGTCTGAAGTGACCATTTGGTTTCCTCTCTCACAAAGATAATTTGGAGACTCCTATGTGCCATTTGATATAAAGTAAAAGCCTGTAACCACATTGATATGGATGACAACACTGCCACCTAAAGGTAGCTACAGCTCCATACCAGCATGATCTAATACATGCACAGGAACGTAAAGCACTAACACACAGAGCCCCAGTGTTCAGGTGCGTTACTTAAATGGCTATGTTTACCAGATATGATTTCATAATATGATCCTTAATATTTTGATATGCTCATATGGGTGTTATACTTTGCCGGTATGATAATTATTTATAACAGAATCATTGCAGAAGTAGTGGGATGTACATTTTCATGCGTATCTTCAATGCAATCTACAGTAAGCCTTTATAGCACTTTGCTTTCATTGCATTTCTTGCTGGATGCAAACACCAGATGGCGCTCTGCCTGTTCTGCAGATGTCTAGTACAATATTCTGCACTTTTTCTAATTATCCACCCATATGTGCATGTTCATATTACATTGCTAGTCAAGATGCTTTCTAAAGCTGGGGAAATTCATGTCACAAGTTACAACCTGTTAAAAGAACAGTGCTGCAAATTATGGACACCTGATACACAAAACTGAGGGGATAACAGTTCCTATAGTGTCCGCACAGACATTCTACTTTTCTATGATACTGCTTTCTGAATCACTTATGGATGGGGCATTCATCTGTGCTCTTCTATCGTAAAAAAAAGGAGAAAGAAAATGATTTCTGCTGTGTCCAGATGAATTTCTTTCTGATTCTGACCGTGCTGAATTAGGGGTTTGCCCCCCGAGCTTACGCACATCTTTAACCCCCCCGAGATGCAATCATGTGACTTTTCTTCACAACACTTCATTTAACACCTTCCTTTGTGTTCATGTTATGTAACACACAACCCACAAATAGCCACGTGAGATTGATACAAACACACGCAAGCAAGAAAGCAGCAAATGATACTCTCCACTGTTGTGATTTGATGAAATGACACTCCCACTTTTCCCAATTGAAGGGCACAAAGCCAAGTCGAGGAGGAAGTTTGAACCCACAAGGTCACACTGAAGAGGAGGAGGCAACAGAGCTGGGTGACAGGATGAATAAAGTCTTTTCAATGTGTGATTAAGGGGATTGAACGCATTGTGAAGCTCTGAGGAAGATTGAATTAACTGTAGATTCAATCACAGGAGCTCAACATGCTGATAGTCGCAGGAGGGGAAGTGTGTTATCGTCTTAACACCTACACAGATCACGCACGGCTTCCGCGAACTTTTTGGTAGGGGAAGATGAAAAGTTCAGTCACAGAAACAAAGGCATAAACCATATTCCTTCTGTGTGATTGGACTCTGCTGTAATTATTGTTCATGTAATTAACCTATCTCTTTTTCCCTCCTGTGTGCTAATTAGGTTGCTCTTCGTACTGACATGTCAGGCTCAGTTTAATTAAACACAATCAGCGTAGTTATAGTAACCAAGTAACACACTCACAGATTGCTTTTTTTCTTTAACATCAACTTGACTATGACTGAAGTGATAAGTCTCCATACAAACTTAGAATTTGAATTGTCCCCAGTAGAGGTAAATACTGTACATTTCTGTTCAGCTGATCTGTCTAGTATGGGATCTTAATTTTCTAGCTTTGCACACACAGTATGTTGACGTTTGCTTACAGTTTTATTTGTCCTTTTTATTCTATATCACCACAGTTTATTAGAAATGTTGTGGGAAGTGTTTTTTATTTGATGGAACATTTATTTCTATAAAGCCCCACACACACAAAAATTACAGATGACAACACCAAACATCGACAACAGAATGCCTTCACTGATCTCTGGTCCTTATTTTAGATTCATATTACAAGCATTACTCAAATCTATTATATGGATATGTAGATAATAGAGCAGAAAATATTTTTTATAAATGTAAATGTTTAATTCATTAGTTTAAAAAAATAAATTACTTAATATTCACTGGATTTATAGGTTTCTATGCAATTTTGTTTTTATACATTGAATGTAAAACATACAAAAACATTCACATTTGAAGGTTGAACTGAACATTTACATTTTGTTGTTATTGTTATTTTTGCAATATCCATTTCCCTTTTTACCTTCTGAGATACTCACTGAACCCTCCAAACTGCTCCCGGGTCACTGAACCTGAACTCGCCATCACTTCAAATCATATATTTGTGCAATCTGTCCATTAAATGAACAACCTGGAAATACCGCTCCCTTTTTGAAAATGTGCTTCCAAAGCTATGAATGGTAATCAGGTAGAAGGACCGTATGTCTCTCTGCTCGGCTGACAATAGCTTTGAAAATAAAGGTCAAGGGGCATGAAACAGTGATGTTATTGAAGTCAAAGTAATAGAACTCAAATATTACATTTTCTACAGCTTAAAGGGAACACCATACATTTCACACATCAGAATACGATTGCCAGTCTTTAGAAATACTGCTTATGTTTAAGTCGAATGGAGTCTTTTGTAGCCTTTTAAAGGGAGATGTATAAGGTCTGAACAGTGGCCTCAAGTGATGTAACATGAGTCATCATCCGATGTTGCTAAACAATAAAAGTTTGACAGAAAATACAAAGTTCTGGATTTGAAGAAAGTTGGTTTAGACCTCTCTAACTCCCAATCTCATCTTGAAGCTGAGTGGTGCTACATTAGCCACCGCTAGCATTGTCTAATCTTAGATAAATTACTTTGGGTTATTTTGTGGCAAATATTTAGGGGCCGCTGTGGCTCAGTTGGTGGAGTTGGTCGTCTCTCAAGGGAAGGTTGGAGACTTGATCCCCAGCCCCTTCAGCCACACACCTGATGTTTTCTTGGGCAAGACCCCTAATCCCATGTTACTCCTGCTGCTTTGTCAGTGGCATATGAATGGGATTAGTTACTTCTTCTTTTGATCAATCTTTTTTTAAGGGTTATTTTTGGCCTTTTTTTATACCTTTTATTTCGATAAGACCATGGATAGAGTCAGAAATCGGGGAGAGAGAGTAAGGAATCACCAGGCCACCAGCGGCCTAAGGGATGAGTTACCTTTGATAGTCACTTTGCATAGCAGCCTCTGTCATCAGTGTGTGAATGGGTGTAAATGGGTAGGTGTGACCTGCGGTGTAAAAGCGCTTTGAGAAGTCTGAAGACTAGAAAAGCGCCATACAAGCTCAAGTCCATTTACCATTTATTTAGCACCAGGTTTGGAAAAAGATATTTGGAATTGAAACGTTTTCACTTTCCATCATGAATACTAACAAGGCTACTGAGCCACAATGCTAAACAGGTGGAGTAGTCTTTAAATGTCATGTATGGCAGTCTTTCAGCCCAGTTAGGATCAGGATTATTTTGTTTACTCCATTTCTATTAAGTCATAGTGTGAATGCAGCAGATAGCAACACATTGTACAAAATGTGTGGATGACCTTGCCTGACTCCTCTGTCCTGACACTAATTTCTAGGAGCAGCTTCTGCGTCCTCATGGCTCTCTTACGGTCTCTTCTTCTGCTGTAAATAGGTACATAGTTCTCCTTACTACAGACAGCTACTGGAAATCTTTATTTATCCATTTACTAAGAACCCTTTCCGCAGCCAAACTCCAAGCAAAATCCTGCACTATTTTTAGAAACAACTGAGAGTATTCACAGCTCCTTGATCATTTCTTTCTCGTTCAGTTTTCCATTAGGATGTTAATCATGTATCATAACTGTCCTTGTGAATGACTGCAAAACTGTGCTAAGATTTGCAATTACTGGCATCGCACTATTTAAAGATAAAACAACTTCTTGTAATCTTCTTAAGCCTCATTCAGACAGGAATTACTTCCCTAAATAGATGTTTGACTAG